AAGAGATTACCTCTTCCTTAGCGGCCCCTCCCCCGTCGAATCTATGCCCCCTTCTCATTCTTTTTTTTTACGAAAAAGAGACTATAATAAGACCTCGAACACACTCTCATCAGACGAAAACCGGCATTGCTTCCACTTCACCCCTGTTGTCTGTGTGGTCTTGGTGTTGCGCCCGGGCGAGCGAATACTCGTATGTTAAAGCGGTCTCTACCATTGTTAAAACTATATTCAAACGGGTCTCTATGAAATTTGGCTTAGATGTAGATAGCTTTTTAACTTAACAATAGCTATATATATTTTATATTCTTATTTTTTCCAAAGCAATCTTGCCACGATATAGGTTTATGTCGTAAAAAGTCCATATTTTTCGAACGTGATACATTTGTGTTGCTGTTAAGGGACGGTTATGGCAAATTGCGCATCTTTGGAGGCATAGAACAGGATTTCTACAAAATTTGATTACATACATACAGCGTCTTAAATAAATCCGAGAATTTTAAATTATTGTCTGTATGTATATCCGCAAGCCTCGTTTGTTCCGAGTAATCTCCGGAATAGCTGGTCTTTTACCGGAAGGTAACTACATATACGGAGTTATTGGTAATTAGACGTATTCCCGTTAGGAGGTAATAGAAGAAATCATTTGTGATAATTTTGACCTCTGTATGCATTATCCAAAAGTTAACCATTTTCGAGTATTCTTGATTATTAGATCTTTCGAAATAAGTCGAAATTGCAACTTCAAAAATTTATTTAGAAAAAACTATTTCTTTGGATTTATAAAAAGCATTAAACACTGATTATTTTACAATATAAAAACATCATTTATCTGTTCAAATTAAAAAATGCGAGCTAAAGAACCATTTTACTTCAATATTTTTCGAGATTCTTATCTAGTGAAATGTCTTAAAAGCGAAAAAAACCGTTATGAAACTTGGTTTGCAGATTTTTGTAAAAACATGCCCATTTTCTGAGCTTTCCAAAAATGCATAATACCTAGGACCTTGCTCCAAGAGCACTGAAATAAATACATGATTTCAAAGGAATCGGGCGATATTTGTACTCGAACTAAAGTTACGGTTGGTTTTGATAACTTCCACAGAAGTAATTAAAAACAATGACAAACGGTAAATAAACCAAAAATGCAAATACAAAATAAAATTTAGAACCAGTAACAGTTTAATAAATAACTATTATTTTAACAATCTCTTTGAAAACCTGCATTTGGCAACAGGGCAAAACATGACATACAAGAAGGACGGTTGTCCTACACATTTTGGGTGTTAATGTTAGGTGATAGCTATTGCTCAATTCGCTGAGGGAGAGCCATAAATAAGAAATAGAATAGGTGATAGCTGCGATTTTCCTCATTTTAGGATGGGTTGAGGCGAAACTTTAAAAATGTCTTAATATAATAACTGTTCATTTAATTTTAATTTTTAAAGTTGCAATTTCGACTTATTTTCAAAAAATCTAAAAATCAAGATTAATCGAAAATGGTTAACTTTCGGATAATGCGTATAGGGGTCAAAATTATCACAAATGATCCCCTCTATTACCTCCTAACGGGAATAAGTCTAATTACCAATAACCCTGTATCTGTATAAGTATATATCCGGGATTTACTTAAGCTATTTGTGTTTAATTGCGCGGTTATGTTAATGTAAATTAATAATAGATCTATATAAAAACATATATTTACCCTTTGAAATCCAAAATAACCTAGCATTATAACAGGCATAGGAAAACACATTATATAAAGGTGTTTTATGAGGGATACGCTGCTAGATTCGTAGGTTCTATGATTTTCTTTTCGTACTATGTAAGTCGCAAGTATCCTATGAACCTGTAAAATGGAAAAGTTTAATACTGCGTGACCGAAAGATATGTAACTTCAATAAATCCAACACTCAGATCTATACAATATGACAGGTTTTACGATGGACTTGTAAAATTGACTCTTAAGTTTCTAGGACTTGGATAACAAGTCATACCATTGAGCTGTCGCCTTTTCATTGGACACGTTTATCTGGCTTTTCACGTCTCGGTCAATAGTGCCGTAACATTGAAAGACGTTAGTGGAAAGACGCCTTTAACGAAATTGTAGGAAACCTGGCTTGACTAAACTCACAAATTAAATGTTCTGGTTGGGATTGCTGATTTTGAGGAGACTTCTTTCCAATTTGGAATAATTCCTGCCCCTTATTTCCGTCATCGGACGACTCGTTGGACACTCAAACGTTCGTGAAAACAAAATAAACTGACTTGTGTTAATTCCTTGTCTTTTAGCGAAAATAAAAAGAATAAATCATATATTGTTTTAACTATTATATTATTCACCTCTTAGGTCAACATTTTTCTTTTTTGTGACTGAGTTGTCACTGTTTGCTTTTAGCTCTTAACAGGTGTACCGGTATGAAATGAGCGTTTTTTGTAACATGAATTATTAATGGGAAAGTAAAAAACATTTCATTCAAGTATTTGCAATTGTTTTCTATACATATTGACCACCTTTCTGGCAATTTGTGGATATCACGTATCTTTTAAAGCAAACCAACCAGACACCCAATTTTCAACCTCCGCGCAGGAATCAAAGTGCTGATTTTTTTTTTGGACGGCCTTTTGCCGCCCCGTCGTTCTTCCCCTGGCGTGGTGAATCCAAGGACTTGGTTTACTTTATTTTATTTAAAATTCAATACTTACAGTTCCAATATAAATACAATCATTAGTACATTTTAAAATTCATACCTATTTACAATT